AGTGCTACATAAAGTGCAAGAGGAGATATCTCTGTATTAAAGTGCATTATTATTAGTCATTAATAATGAGTTATTAGTAACAGGTAATTATTAGTATTACCTGTCTTCTAATATGTTATGTGATCACTCTCTAGCCTTCAATTATCCTTATCATTGCACTTTCAGATCCAGTGAGTCAGATCCAGTGAGCATGGCTTACAACATCGTGGCTATTTAAAAACAAAAAAAACGGTGTGATTGCTTACCTCAGCAATAATTGGCAACTTGGTGTGTCATGATTTTTCCGAAAATGCACACTCATCCCTCATACTACCATGAGTTCATGACCATACAAATTAACATTGACGGTGTTAAGTATAAGCAGGTTACATTAGCTGCGAGTGTATTGTCTTTAAGGATGGTTTTTGCATATTGTTATTTTTCAGATTTCAGATTATAAGCTACATTTCAATTCATTTCAGTGATGTATGAGACTTTTCTGTGGTTTAAAACTACAACATCAGGGTTTGAAAGTCAGTCTTTCAAGTGTGGCTTGTTGAAGAATGTTTAGAGTATGTTTGTTTACTACTTGTTTGCTATGGCGATTCTCTCTAACCCGTTGGTGCTTGTTCCTCAGGTGTGCTGGCGCTGTGGACCCTGATCACTCACGTCATGTACCTGCAGGACTACTGGAGGACCTGGCTGAAGGGCCTCAAGTTCTTCTTCTTCATCGGAGTCTTCTTCTCTCTGTTAGCGGTTGTGGCCTTCATCAGTTTCCTGTCTATTGCCATCCACAACAAAGAGTGTAAGTTCCTGTTCGTCGCTTTCCTCCCACATAACTAACAAAACTCACTGCCCAAAATGGTACCTTTCAATCAATCAAAGTTAATACATATAGCCCAATATCAGACATTTTACATTTGTCTCAGGGGACAGAATATGAATATGACACCCTCTGTCCTTGGTCCCTCACATCAGACAAGGAAAAACGTCCAAATAATCCCCACAGGGAATGGGGGAAATGGAAGAAACCTCAGGGAGAGCAACAGAGGAGGGATCCATCTCGCAGGACGGACAGACGTGCACATTTTGCGTATATTTAAAAAAGAAAAAACATAGGTTGTCCAAATGCTAGAAAATTAATTTGTCTATATATAAGAAATTATTTAATTGAATTTAAATATGCAGGACAAGTTCAAATTGAATCACTGAAAGAAACTGGATAACCTGCTGAGTCACATGACTGGGTTGAGAGTCCCGGGTAGTTAACTGTCTCAACCAAACTCTTTCAGGTTTACTTCATGTGCAGATTTCCCACAATCCTCACCCAGAATGCCCTCTGACAACCCTGAGGGAACAACGTGGGACAACAAAAATGGCATTCATCTCACACAAATTGCACTAGTAATTCTGTTTTTCACCCTAAGGCCACTATTGCTGAAAATAATTCTTAACATACTTTTGTGCCATTTTAGTTGTTTTGTCATATTTTGGGCCATATCAAAATAGATGTAGGTGAAAGATATAAGTAAAAATCCTTCACATTAGTTCATCTTGCGAACATAGGAGAAAATGAATCATATTTCTTCAAACCTAAACTGCTCTTGAACTTAAGCTCGAGAGGAGTCTTTAGTTGGTCAGAGTAAATCCACGATGACTCCGGTACAGAAACTGTTAATGTTCAAAACGTCCTTGGTCGAGGCGATTGAAAATGTATATAAGTATTTCAATTCAGAAATAGGGCAGTGTTCTAGCCCTTTCATTATTTTATTTTTTTAATCAAAAATGTTTTAACATTAGCCAATGAAGTGTAAACAAGAAAAAAGCTGGCATTAATTATCTTATTCACCTGCAGTACATTTTAATGTCTGCACTTGTCAATGTCGTACTCCATTTACTCCTGAATTGGATCCTTAAAGCTTTCTTAAGTGTGACAATTAAAAGTGTGTTAGTACAGGACCAGTTCATCACCCAACATCACTGTTCCACCTCTGTTGAGGCTAAATGGGAGCGAATCCCAGCTGTCCTGTTCAAATATCTTGTGAGGTCTGTATTAGCAGCAGATTCATGTACATGGTGTGTTTCTCTCTGTTTCCCACAGCCCTGACGGACCCCAGGAGTCTCTACCTGTCCTGTGTGTGGAGCTTCATGAGCCTCAAGTGGGCCTTCCTGCTTTCCTTGTCCGCCCACCGCTACCGCCAAGAGTTCGCCGACATCAGCATCCTCAGTGACTTCTAAGGACACTAAAACATCCCGCACTGACTACACAAACTTTATAGAACAGCCTGAGAGTCTGAAAGGCCATGGAGGAGACTTTCGGAGGAATCAGAGGAGAGTTTTATCTGATTCTGGTAACTCTCCTGCCTTCTTGCCCCAAACCTCCTCCTTTTTTTAAATATCGGTGAAGGATTTGTTGCTGACTTGGCCACAAACAAACCCAGCCCTATTTTTTAGGATCACTGATGGATTTTAAATGGAGAGAATAATTGCGCTGTAACTCTTAGTGTTGCAGTTTGTGCTGTAGCCACTAGAGGGAGCCATCCTTTCAACAGTTAAGCGCCATGTTCAGTGTGCGCTTGACATCCCAAATTACATTGTGTTATATTGAATTTTTCTCATTCAATAAATGATGAAGAGCTGCACAAGTTGCACACGCAGCAGTTCAATTATGTAATCTGCATATTATAATGCATTTGATGAAATCATGATGTACATCCAAACCCTGCTTTAACAAAGTGTATCGAGGTCTTGCAGTGGGCAGGTCACCCATAATACTGCAGCATCTACATGAATGCTTTCATTTTATAAGCACCACATTTCCTGATTTATATAATATTGAACCATGAATGGGCATTTTTTATGTAAAGAATGATTTTTCTATTATTTGTATCGGTGTGAAAAACAAGGCTGAGTGTGAAGTCAGGCCTTCGTTATGGCTTTAATTCACAGCATAAGCAACACCACTAATGCTCATGCATGTTGCTTCACATTTTATTTTCTTCATCTGAACCACTTATATAGACATTTATATTGTTGCTTTATGAGATTATGTTTCTTTTATTTGTCTACACCCCCGTGTTAAAAAATGAAGAAAGACATTGTGTATCCACATCACTGAACGTATGAGTGTGTGTTTGTATAATGAGTGTCTGATAGTTATTAAAATGTGTTTTTTGACATTGCATTGGTGTGGATAACTGTTCTGTTTTTTAAATTGAATTTGCTCCTTTTTCTACATTTTCTCTTTTTTTATTTAACTTTGTGACAGAATTAAAGCGGCTAAAATACCTTTTTATCCCAAACCCTTGTGAGTTCCAAGTGTCACAGAGGCAGATGGAGGCTGTAACAAACCTGTCTTCCAACTAAGCTTATGTCAAGAGGGTCAGTGTTGGACATTAAAGTGGGATTTGCATTATGGGAGGGAAAATAACAACTTTTCCAACCCACCCGAGCCACATTTATGAAGGAGAAAACACCCCACAGCATTGCAATGCCAACAGTAAATGCAGGTCAATACGCTACACTTTGAAGTCAGGCAATTATTCCATCCATCCACATTTTTATATTGTCCCTCAAAGGGAAGGTTTGGGGGTGGGTGCAGAGAATTTTTTAGTGTATGATTTTGTTAAGGCAGCCGCCTGATAGGGGGACTTTGAAGTTGATTTGAAAAATATGTGAGTGAAATATTCTAGCTGTATCAGTGTTAAGTGCTTTATTGCTGATTAAACTATTCATGGGAAATATCGGGTGGGGATATGTGTCTTTTGCAACTGTTATGGAAAAACTCACTGGCGAGTGAATCTGGTGTTTTATTATTTATTACAAGTATCAGCAACTTTGATCCTTAAGAAGCCACTGTAATTATTTCACTCTCTTTGTTGCTTTCCTGCATCCTTCCTCTGTGTTTTAAGGACATTTTTGGTGGTACTTATATCTTAATTGCATTACACTGGTTTGCTTGTAAGCCCCCAGAGTCTCACTGAATCAAGGTAATTGCGATGTTGTGGTTAAATCACCATGGCAACATTTTTTATCTGGCCGTTATAAACTTCGACATTAAGAAACAGAAAAACAATCCGGCTCACTTTCCACTGAGCAAGCTGGGGGCTTTGGAACCAAATGCGTCCTATTAACTTTATACAACAGCCTGTAAAACCTGTGTGTGTGTGTGTGTGTGTGTGTGTGTGTGTGTGTGTGTGTGTGTGTGTGTGTGTGTGTGTGTGTGTGTGTGTGTGTGTGTGTGTGTGTGTGTGTGTGTGTGTGTGTGTGTGAGTGTGTGAGTGTGTGAGAGAGAGTGTGAGTGTGTGAGTTTGTGTGGTATGTAAAGAGAGGGAGGGGTCTCGTTTTATTCAATTATGGGACTTCTACCCAAATCAGGGGAGGAAGTTGTCTCAAGTGTTGACTGGCAGTCTGGCAGAGTGCGGTAAGGCTGGAAACAAAGGTTTATACATTCAAATAACACCACTATCCTAAACATCCTGTATAATTAGACGCTAGTGAGCTACAGAGAGTGAATCAACCTTGATAACAAACAACCTACGGGGGAAAGATTCCTTTGCATCGCACACATGCGGACCTTAACAGCAGACGATGTCAGAAAAGGACACCAATTCGTTCTCTTTATGAGCATCCACACGTCAGCTCTCAGACCTGTTTGTGTATGCTTGCTTACACATCAAAATCACTACCTTTTACATGTATTCAAGCACTGCACTTATGTAAAAGTGTGTAAAAGTGTGATGTACTTGTACTGTACTCTGGGATTTCTATTTTACCCTTTTTTGATACTTCTATTGTACACCACCACATCTCAGTTTTTTCTCAACACATTTTTATATGATACATTTTACATTTTTTAAATAATCATTTTCGTGTAATGCTACCAAAATAACTTTGTTCGTCGGTTATAAGCATCAGGTTTATTGTGCCTAAAAATGTCTTGTCCTGATATATTTTTTGTGTTAAGTATTCAACTTCAAGGTTCAAGGTTCAAGGTTCTTTATTGTCAAACTAACATAGCTACAGAGTAATTATGTCGTTGAAAATCTTAGGTCACAGGCTTCTCCAACAATGCAACACAATAATACAAATAATCAGACAATATTAAAACAATATTAAAGTATATTATATTAAAAGTAGGGCTGTCAAACGATTACAAATTTTAATCAGATTAATCACAGCTTAAAAATTAATTAATCATGATTAATCACCATTCGAACTATGTCCAAAAGATGCCATTTCTTTATGTATATTGTTGTGGGAATGGAAAGATAAATGAAAGAAGGCGGATATATCCATTTAACATGTATGTATGTTTATTATAACATTGTTCTATGTGTCAAAATGAAAGACAGCCCACACACCTATCAATCATCAAACCGTGGGGTCTTATTTCATTACGTGTTGATTTCTATCAACATGTTGTATCGATGTATATAGAGCAGAGATGTACTACAGCAAAAGTATTCTCCGTCAGGACTTCCTGCAACAACACCACGCCGTTATCGCGATTCTGATTGGCCAGAAGACATTATCAAAGATGTTCTATTGAGAAGACGATCACTACGTGACAAAAGTTTTAAAAACCGTTTCTAGTCTTTGGTATTTCCAGACAAGTGACTACTGAAATCAATCTTACTAATTGCTGTCTGTGCAATTTACTCGGCGCGAGTTGGCGGACTTTATTTTGCTTACTTTAACATCATTTTTCATGGTGGGGCTAAGGTGGGGCTAAGCCATTTCTTGGTATGGCTATAGCCTATCCCAGCGTTGCCACTGGTGGGATGTATGGGGCGGGCCATTCTGCACAAGTTCAATGCATTTATTTTGACGCAATTCATTCAAAAAATTAATTACCGCCCTTAACGCGATAATTTTGACAGCATTAATTAAAAGTAATACAAAAAAGAAAAATAGTTTTTTTAAAAGTGAGAGAAAAAAAAAAGTGGAATAGTGCAATACGAGTCTATATACAAATTATTGGAATGATATATTAGATAATATATAAATAATTACTATGTAGTAGATGAATGTTACTTCGCTGCCAGATTGGCGGCGCTATCGTAGAGCCCTCGAGGCTTTGGAGCCCTCCTGAACGCTGGCCTGTGCAACGCCTATCTATCCCCATCTTTCGCAATCTTTTGACAGCCTGCTCCATATTCACCTATTTTGCCTCCATGTGCTATCTTTCACCCTCTATTGCCCAAGTACATTTTGCATTGTCGACTGTCGGTATCGAACAACTGACCTTCTACTTGGTAGACACCCATTTACTCACCATACCAACAAAATCATACCTCGGACCAGGTGAGTATATGCCAGTGCTTCGTTTGTTTAGCCTGTGATTTCCCTTCACTTTGTCATTTCACTGACCTGTGCTGAGTGGCAAATACAATTTCGGAGAGGAATTGTCAGTATGTGTGTTACAAATGTTGTTATGTCCACAGAATACAAGGCTATTAAAACATTTGAGGTCATGTCACCGGAGTCAATGTGTCCTTTAGAAAAGATTGGATTTAAGCCTTAGAGAAACCTGAACACATCTGATCTCTGAAGCTGAGCAGGTTTGGCTTAGAGACCACCTCTTCCTTTTTAAAATGTTTATAAACATGATATACTTCCTGATTACAGCCCACCCCATCCATTTCAAGGACTTATACTGATACAGATAATATAGTGAGTAAACCACTCAACCCTACGTTATGTTTAATCCGGACCTACCTTTATCTGCAGGGCGGATGTGGCTCAGGAGGGAAATGGATATCTAGCAATCAGAGGGTCAGTGGTTCGATCCCCGTTTTTGAACATAAAAGTGTATGTAAGTCCCTGATGGATTTATGGAGTTATATTACACGAGAATACAACTTCAAGATTCTTTAAAATATGTTTGGTTCAAAACAAATGAAAGGGTATATCTTGTAGTATATCTTTTAGGCGTTGCACTTTGCAGACGGTCCCTGCACGCCTTTCTCTCCACCAGCTGCAGATAGAGACCAGTGTGAAGAGTCCAGCACAAACAACTGCATCTATTGGCTTGTTTTGATGAAAACTAGTTGTTTTGTTTATGTGTTATTGACCCATCAATCCATCAATATCTTCTAAATGGACCAAACTACAGTTTATGAATGAATTAACATTAGCTTTCTTGGCCAACATCAACATTTAAGAACTGCCTACATATTAATGCTTTATAATCATGAAATACTGTGTATTGCCCAATATTACAAAAACAGGGGATATTCTGAATAATAATAACTTATATTAATTCTGAAAACTTTATTTCATTTTAATGCTGATACTTCTGTAAGTAAAAAGGTTATTGCAGGCCCTTTACCTGCAATGAAATATTTGCATACTAACGTAAACGTATTGCACCTTTAAAATATTTAATATTTCTGCTGAGATGCAATGGGGCGGATGTAAAGATTAGCATACAATTAGATTACAACTACACTATAAATACCTTTAAAATTGTACTTGAACAAAAGTACTTAGTTACTTTCCCAGGTGATAATGGGTGAACAGGAATTCACAGCTTCAACTGATGCCTGCGATGCGTGCATGCTAACAGTTCCCATTGTGAAATATTAACATTCGATTTAATGCTGAAAAAAATGAAGCATTTGATCTAAAAAAAGAGGCGTCAGGAGGAAAAACGCTAAATGAAAAGCAAACATCTTGAATTGGTCGAGAACCAGATGGCCTCTTTGACATTAAGAAGCCGCTTTGGCATTTTAAGAAGGCAGTCCCAGAATGATTTCCGAGGAACTTCCGCAAAGCGAGGTACAAAGCCCACAGATATTTAAGCAATATCCATAGCAATTTACTGTTTTATTTACAAACTGAAACATATGTTTCTAGACCTTTGCAGGCCCCCTCCCCACTCGTCTCTCCTTATTACCACACTGATTTACTGCTCCAGGATTTCTCCCTCTCTATCTGATTTTCCCTTTCCTTGCTTTGTCTCTGTGTTATCCTTATCATGTTCTCTCATCACTCACCAGTCATCCAAACTGTCCCTGCAGACCTGCCTGTTAACAGGACATACCCTACTTTTACACTCAGCTATTGTTTCCCCCCTCCCCTGATTCTGTGTGCGATGCTGCCTGTGCCTCTGGGACCACTGCAAGCTCGCATCTGAAACATTTTAGAGAGACACATATTTGCTGTTTTTGAGC